GGGGTGGAGTCAAAGTCAGTTATTTATTGATTCATTCATTCGGAGCTGGCCTACCACAAAAAAACTGCATCTCCCCTCGACCCTTAACGGCAACAGAGGATGAAAAAGTAAAAGTAAGAAGTATTCATTCGAGGCTGGCTTATGTAAACCATACCCCTTTCCCCCCGGGGGCGGTGCTACTGACTGAAGTGTCTTTAGGTCATTTTAAAGAGGTGGAGGGGGGGGGGGGCATTAGCATGTTCCTGTTGAAAGTAGGATTGTAAATGTGCTGATTCATCAATGTCATGCTCATAACTGTGCCTGAACTGCAACAGAGAACTGCTGCTTTTTCTTTCCTAATCCTTACTACTATTGTCATTTTTCCTCTACTTCTTTTGTATGTTTGTCACACTCTTGTGACCCGCTATCTCCGGGGTGCCTTGATAGTCGAAGCAGACTTTATGCTGTTGAAGCTAAAGATGTGAGCAAAGTAAGTCTGATTCCCTGTAAGGACTTCTCTGTTGACATCCACCCCTTGGCGCTCATGTGACCTTATGCAGTTGCAAGGGTAGTAAAACCTCTACTAAAACTAAAAGAACATACACCCCTCTCTCTAAATTAATGTGTATGGTAGTTAATGATGATGTGAGGTAACAGAATCATTGTCCGTTAACCGACATGAGAAAGCGGTGAGCGTTAAACTCTCTCATTAACCAAAGCCTTCTGTCCACGTATAATAAAATGGTCGTTTTTAAGGACAAGCGGGCTAACCCAGATTTCGGAGGGTTTCCAGAAATCTTGACCAACTCCAAAAGTGGGCATTGCCCTACCTGCAGGAGAAGTTTGGTTTCATTGTTGTAATATATTTGTTTGGTTATAGAGAAAACTCTCCTTGTCTTTTAAGAAACTAAACAAGGGGCAAAAACGTTACCTTCGATTTTCTCAAAACAGCATTTTTCAGGAAAGCCCCCCTTGTGCTTAAAAATAATAATAATAATAATAATAATAATAATAATAATAATAATAATAATAATAATAATAATAA